TTATTTGGCAGATATAAGGTAGAATAATGGCAGATTTTTTTTCTGTTATTTATCTATTATTTACCTTTTATTCATTTATTTAACCTATATAATTTACAAATTTCATTATAGGTAAAATTTGAACATTAAAACTATTACTTAAAGAATAACAATCTAACTACTACATTAGGATTATTATTCTCTTTAAATTTCTATTTATATACAAAATAGTATACATAGACAATATAAAAATCAACCAATATTTTAAAATTTTGATTATGAAACTATATTTTAGTTTTTAATAAAAAAAAACTTTTTACTCAATTTTGGTATAAACTATATTTTATTCAATTTCAACAATTTCAAACTCATTTTTATTCTAACTATAAGAAGGATTTAATTATTTATTTGTAAAATTGATATTATGTTGCATGAAATTGTAATTCAATAGATTATAACCATATACTATATAATTATTATATGTAAACTAAAAATTTTCAAAAATTTATTAGAAAATTAATAATTGTGACCGGAATGACGTTTGGTTGGTTATATTAGGTAATCTCGTGACATGTAAGTTTTCTAAAATATCACAATTTTTTATTATACAATCCATTTCATTTATAATTGAAAAATATAGCCCGTCTCTAGATTAATTCTACTGCAATGGCCCCATATTTTGAAGGATAATCGTAAAAAGTGTTTAATTTAATAAAGAATCTGGTCCCTGAGTGAGTTAATACTTGGATCCGGATTTAATCATTATAGCTGTTCTCATAAATTCTGGGACAACTGATAAAAATTGATCGATAAGTTTTTGAATTCGGTGTTATCAGATTACAGCTATTTTCATAATTCCTGTTAATGATTTCTGTATGATCAGATACGTACGCATATAAATCACTTTACACATATATAAATGGTTATCACACAATTCCCCAAAAGTTATTTACCTCCCAACACATTTCGATACAGTAATCCCGACTTGATATTTCATCTACAGCACATTTTTTCGATAAGACATATATTTGACATTAAATGTTTTCGACAACCCTTTTCTTTGACAAGACATTTATCCGACAATCATTTGCTCGACATAAAATTGGCCTGATTTAGCCTTAGGGTTAGCTAATTTAGAGTAAGTGTTGGTTATAATTATATATCAGAGAATAGTCTAAGAAAAGGATTGTCAAAAACATGTAATGTCAAATATATATCTTATCGAAAAAATGTGCTGTAGATGAAATAGTATGTCGGCATTGCTGTGTCGGGGAAATGCGTTGGCGGGTAAATAACTTTCGGGGAATCGTGCCGTAACCATATAGATAACATTATATATGAGTGCTGTCAAGGAAAATCTGTCATCGGGCTTACAATTATATTTTGTGTCGGACTCAACCTATTGATTTGCATCCGGTACAAGATATTTTTCCTTGACGGCACTCATATATATTTTCGCACAAACTAAACACTCTAAGCTTGTTGGGCAAACATTCAAATGAAAGTATAATAATATTGAACTTATCGACATTTATATGTCAGAATTATCTATAGAAAGTATCATATGTCTTCTATATATAGAGTAGAAATTTGCGCAATTTTTTACGTGTAAGTTTCTGATATGTAATTTTTGTATTTAAAATAACGTTGACCAAAACTTTCATAGTGCTGGCAAAACTTTTGTAATGCAGGTGCAATAATCTGTGCCAGTGCACTAATTAACTGTTAATGCAAAAAAAAATTGTATAAACTTAATCGAATCGATATCCGTATTGTCACCGGATCTAACAATTAACTCTACCCTGAGTCCGGACTGGTTTAAGATCACAGGACTGCGGATTTTATGTATAATTTTCAAGAACACGTCAACATGTATAATTTTCAAGAACACGTAAACTATGAATAATTCGTGTTTACAAGACGTGAAAGATTTACTTGAAAATTCAAATTCGGAAATTATACTAAAGCAAGAAAAAATTCACGCGTCCGAATATCGTGCTGAAAGTGAATATTCATTTACTCAATTTATTATCATTATACTTTAATTTAATCTTTTGCTGGATGCTAAATAGCTAGACGGATTAAAAACATTTTACATGCTTTCGGAATATCCAAGGATGACTTTTCCAAGAATGGCGTTCACTCAGTCAAAATATTGGCGACTTTAGCTACAATTTTAGAATTGAGGGATGTTGAACGAAGCAGGTAAACTTTTTATTGTAATCCATATAATTTTCAGAGTATATAATTTAACACCTTTAAATCAAATTTAATAGCTTTTTTTCTGCATTAGCGCAGTTGAACATAGATTCATCCCACATTGAACGGCAGAATAGGGACATTTCATATACTATTAATTCCTTAGAAATTTCTACACGAGAAGCTAAACTGAGATACGATAAACTAAGAGAGTTCGTATTACCTTTGTAATCGAAACAATTTATCAAATAAGTCTAAATGTTTTTTTTTTTACATTTGATATTATTATTGCCCAGAATTTTGACAAACTTACGAAGGAATTGGGATACAAAAGAAGATCAAAAACTCAGGGAATGGAAACATAATACCACATTATTAGACCAAAAATCAAAAGAGTATCAACTGAGATTATCACGATTAGAGGTAAATACTTACATTATTAGGTATCTAAAAAAAAAATTTGGTTATTAAATTATTTTACATAGAGACAATATGATGCAATGAATATTGAAGGAGGTGGATTACGATTTCAAGATTTAAAAAACAAAGAAGAGCAAGTCGAAACGCTGGAACAGTTAGTAAAGGATAAAACAAAAAAGTTGAAGGCTTATCAAATCTTGCCTCCGGTATTTTTTTTTTTTCGATGCATAAAATAAAATCTTATTTATCATATTCTAAATATTGATATATTTCTTTATCAAGGATATAACCTTGGCTAAATTACAATTAGATGAGGCTCAAAATAAACTGGTTTGTAGATATATTTTTCGCATTATATGTAGTGATAGGCAAATGCGCAAAATTTTTTGAAATAATACCAATTGCCTATCACTAGTTATATGTATAATACTTCTGGCGTATTTATTTTGGTTTCTAAATAATTGCTACATTAAACTAGGCCGAGTTAACTGATACACGTGATGAACTTATTAAACAAATGGCTATTGGTTTATAAACAGATATATAAGTTGGTTTAATATTTTTATAAAATTGTTGTATAAAATGCTATTAGAATATTTTTTAATAATTTTTTTTATTTGTATTTAGAATTTGGTTGAATTGTTTTTTTTTTATTAAATTTTATATATACAATATTAGCAAAAAATATTCAATAACAATAATATAAAATTAAAAATAATTAGAGTATAATAATTAATACGTATAAGAAAAATATATATAACATATTAGGTTAAAAAAAAATTTATCTCATTACTTTTAAATAGGGTTGTTAATGGAGTAGCATACTCCGGAGTGAGGCCAACCCAAGTTGGAGTGGGTTAAAGATATGCCTAAAAATCTGAAGTGAACTGAAGCAAACCTGGAGTGGCTTCGGAGTGAGCCCAATTCAAGCTGGAGTGGATTGAGAAGTTGCTTAACTCAACCCAACTCATTAACAACCCTATTTTTAAAATGTTACAGTTTGGTGTAATGTAGCATGTTTACAAAGATAAAAACAAACGTTAATTTTGTTAAAAATTGTGTATTATTTAAAATTTTATATAAGATTTTATTTTTTGTATATTAACAAAAAATTTTTATTATATTTTTTATTAGTTTTTAATTTTTTTTTGGTTTTTTTTTTATTGTTAAAGGTTATACTTTATGATGGTTATTTTATTAACATGTTGAAGTTAGTATTACAACTATTTTTTTATAGAAATGAAAGTATAGCTAGTTATATATGCAAGTTTTGATTGTTTATTTAAGTAGTTTTTACTAGAGTTCTATATTAGATATTGTATCTAAAATCTATTAGAAGATTATTTATTTATTTTTTTTTAAGTTAAAGTCTTTGTTTTTGAGGATCAATGTTTTTATTCAAGTATTTGAACACAGATGCCTTCAGAGACTTTTATATATAAGAGGTTGCAACTAGTCATATATGCATTTTTGATGTCTAATTTTTTTTTTTTTTTTTAACTATCCCCGATGTATTACATCGTGGGGCACGTGTGGCACTCTAATTTTCTTTAACTTTAATGTTTGGAACCTACAGGTTTACATATTTAGTTGCTACATACATCACCAATGGTGTTTCCTAGTCTCACTATACCACATTATTAACAAGTTTATCACTATTGTGATAACCCGGGTCCCTGGCCCCGTGGTGTAGGACCCCTTACTCG